TTATTATAGGCCTCAAAGTATGTCTGTTAAACATCCAAGAATGTTAGTTCCTTCAGTCTGGTACTTTTAATTACTGTGTGTCATGTACATAAATCTTGGCAAAGACCAAGACATGTATTTGTTGATCTGCTATGTGTAATTTGTTGGTAGGTTGTAGGAGTAATATGGTTCCCTCTGGTTTTCAAAACTAGCTAGGCATTATTTATCTCTCATGTTGTGTCACCCCACTTAAGGTGCCCACAATTCCCCCTTTCTCCCTTACTAATACCCTTCTCCTATGGTCCTACGTCTCTCGAGGTCCTTCTTTCCCTTTATCCCCTAGGTTCCTTATATACCCTTCCCTCCCTCCTCCCTTAAACTAACCCAATTTTAATCCATATCACCCTTATTAAGGCCTGTTTCCTACTGTTCTACTCTTTTAGGTTCTTTCTTTTCCTTTACCTCCCTGTTTCCTTTCTCCCTTACTAATACCCTTCTCCTATGGTCCTACCTCTCTAGAGGTCCTTCTTTCCCTTTATCCCCTAGGTTCCTTATATACCCTTCCCTTTCTCCTTCAGGTTATTTCTTTTCCTTTACCTCACTGTTTCCTTACCTTTGTCCTGGTTCCTGCAGTTATGTCTGTTTGTATAATTATTTATCAGAGTCTGATCTTAGGATCCACATATGAGGGAGAACATATGTCGATTTTTTTTCCGAGATTGTGTTACTTCACTTAGTATAACAGATTCTAGTTCCATCCATTTCCCTGCAAATTTCATGATTTCATCTTTCTTTAGTGCTTAGAACTCCATCGTATAAATGTACCACATTTTCATTATCCACTCATCAATTAAGGGACACTTAGGTTGCTTCCATCTCTTAGCTATTGTGAAAAGAGCAGCAACAAACATGGATGTACAAGTGTCTCTGCAACAGGACAAGTTCTTTGGGTATATGCCAAGGAGTGGTATAACTGGGTCAAATGGTAGTAGGTTTGTTTGTAGTTTTTTAAGAGTTCTACACACTGTTTTCCATAGGGGTGGAACAAGTTTGCAGCCCCACCAGCAGTGGATCAGTGTTGCCCTTTCCCCACATCCTCTCCAACATTTGGTAACTTTTGTTCTCTTGATCTTAGCCAGTCTGACTGTGGTAAGACGAAATCTTAAAGTGGTTTTAATTTGCATTTCTCTAATTATTAGTGATGCTGAACATGTTTTAAGATGCTTCATAGCCAAATTTACTACTTCTTTTGAGAACTACCTGTTCACCTCCTCAGCCCATCTTTTAGTTGGGTTACTTCTTGTCTTGATTCTCTGTTTTTTTAGTTTGTTACATATTCTGGATGTTAAATAAGACGAAATCTTAAAGTGGTTTTAATTTGCATTTCTCTAATTATTAGTGATGCTGAACATGTTTTAAGATGCTTCATAGCCAAATTTACTACTTCTTTTGAGAACTACCTGTTCACCTCCTCAGCCCATCTTTTAGTTGGGTTACTTCTTGTCTTGATTCTCTGTTTTTTTAGTTTGTTACATATTCTGGATGTTAAATCTCTGTTGGATGTGTCACTGTTGAAGATTTTCTCCCATTCTGTGGGTTTTCTCTTCATTTCCCTGGTTGCCTCCTTTGATGTATAGAAGCTTTTTAGTTTAATATGGTCCCATTTGTTAATCCTTGCCCTTGTTTCCTGAGCAATTGATGTCTGGTTTA